ACACCAAGCAAACAGCGCCTGAAACCAAGGCTGGGCCGACCAACAAGGGGCCATGAGGACTACTCTCCCTGGGTAGGATTCTAACCAAGCCAGAACCTGAAGCAACAGCTGGACCGGGGAAAAGAGGAGGTACAGGTAATTCCACCTCGAGCAGTCCTGCTGAAAGGCATCCACCGCGACAACCTCGCAGTTGGGGAAGGGCGCCACATAGATCGGGAGATGCCGAGGCCACGCCAACACTAAGAGGTCTACTTCCGGGAGTCCGAATGTCTGACAGAGCCGATGAAGAGAGTCAGCGTCGACCGCCCATACCGTGGACAGGGGAATAAACCATGACAGGCCATCCGCCAGGATGCTGGACACTCCCTGGATAGGAACCGCACGGAGAGCCAATCCCCGAGAAGCCAGCATACGAGCCACTTAAAGCGGCCAGCCCCAAAGAGGCAAGAACCAAAGAAAACCCCCCGCAGGCAATGAACCACCTGGGAACAGTCCGCATGGAGCCGGACGGTCAAATCCCAAGCAGCCTGAACCCTCCGATGCGAAAACCAGACCGCTGCGAACTCCCGCACTGTGCTATGAGCCTGACGGAAGGACGGACCCCACCGTCCCCGGCCAGCCTGGTGAGCACTGGTCACAAAGCCCCAGCCGAGAGACGATGCGTCTGCGAACACATCGAGCGAGAGTTCGGGTAAGCGCCATGGCACTGAACCCCAAAAACCCATAAGAGGAAACTGGTGACGCAGCAACCGGCGCAAGACCCCTAGAGGACGAACCCAGCAATCGCGAGAGAGGCGGAAGGGACGTCCCCGAAGGAACCAGAATAGACACTGAAATCAAACCTGACCCGGCGGATAGAACAGCACGGCGAAGTTCAGACTCCCGCACAACTGCTTGAGCAACTGCCGAGTGACCTGGGACCCCCCCAGAAACAGCTGAAGGCGGGGACCGCAGCCACAGCAACTTCTCTGGAGAGACAAGGAAGCAGTCTGAGAGTCCCAAACAAGACCCAGCCAGGTCTGTACATGGGATGGAACCAGATGGGACTTCCTCCAGTGCACCAGGAACCCGAACCCGGCGAGTTGGGAAAAGAACCACACCCCTGGCGAGCAGACAAGTGGACTGACTGGGAGTCCACACAAGCCAGTTGGTGAGGTAGGTCAGAACCTGAATCTAGCAGATGCAGACGGGTCGCCACAACTCGAGTAAGATGCATGAATATGCAAGGTGCCAGATTCAAACCAAAATGAAGGCAACGAAAGTGGTAAGCCTGACGCCCTACCACAAAACCTAACCAGTCCCTGAACCCCGGATGAATAGGAACGTACCAATAAGCATTCTTGAGGTCCAGGAACATCATCCAGGCACCCGGCTCCAACAGAAGCCAGACCTGAGACAGAGTAGTCATCCGAAAGGAGGGGCAAGGAATCCAGGGGTTCAGACGGGACAAGTCCAGAATGAACCGCAGATTTGCACAGTCCCGTTTCGGCAATGGAATCAGGCAGGAAACCCACCTGAGGGAATGGGGTCGTTTCGACCATGCCCAAGCGCACCCTCTCCAAGACGACCTGACGAAGTGCAGGGAAAAAAGTCTGCCCTGCCAGCCCCAAAGCCCAAAGGAGGAGCCGTCATCCAACGCTACCACAGGTCGGATTACATGACCGAAAACGCCCTCAAATCATGGGATCAAGCGCAAGCAAACAGAGCAAGCCTCCCCCGCCCATCATGGGGGGGGGGGGGGGAGAAAATCATGAAATCAACAGAGGGTCAACGGGGCGAACAGCGAAAGGGCTGACACCCCTTATCAGAAGCCGGATGCCAAACAGAGTGATCACCACGCCGGCTCTGAAGGCAACGTCAGCTCAGAAGCTGGCACCAATGACCTACCTCAACCAGCGGAATCCCAAGCCCTGGCATGACTCTTCCGAAAAGGCCGAGAATGGCCACCCTGGAGAACCAATAAGTCCGACATAGGACGACAACTAGATGAAGCCGCCTGCAGAAACTGCGTGATTGCAGTCTCTGTAAACAGCAATGGACAAAACGGAGATGAAAACTTAAGAGCCAGGGCCAAAGCGGATTCCAAGAGCTACGGGCTGTCAGAGCACAGCCTGACAGCACGCGAGGCGAGAAGCAAAGAACAGAGACACCGCCTCCTTCAGGATAGGCGCAAAGAGCTTCGACACTGTGGCCGACACCCTAGCCGCCGAGGACAGCACTCCAGACGAAGGCCAGGCACTTAACGCCTCCATATCCTCCTCAAGCCAGGCAGAACACAGCTTGAGAAGGGAAAAGAAATGTAAGACTGAAGCCAAATGCCCACGGGTGCGCAAATCCTCTGTAACTAAGGACAGCAAATGGTAAGGAACCTGCACGTGCAGCCGCACAAGGCCAATATCCCGAGAAAACACAGGGGGCGAACAAGCACGCATTAAGGCGCTCAAACTTGCCTCCCAGGTAAACCCGCAAATTGGTAGACGTTTCTCGCAACTCAAACGGTTGTGACTGACAGAACCCATGCCATTCCCCCAACAAAAATAAAAGCAGTCTGCCAGCCAGGAAGACTCAGGAATCCCCAAACGCACCCAAAATGGGGAAGAAGAACCAAAATCAAAAGAGGGTGGATCCATAACAGAGGCGGAATCCGGGTCTCGTAGGAGGTATGCAGCAAGAGCCTCCCGAACCTCCCTCGCGGAGATACGAGAAGCAGAAACCCTCCGGAAAGACAGGGCTGAGGTACCCAAAGGGGCCCTGGAACTGAACCCAATTCATACTCATACAGGAAAGGGGGTAAAAAAAAACCCTTCCCCTGCAACAACAAGCCCCGCGAGGAAGGTACAAGCACACGAGCGAGGTCAAAAGGGGCCTAATTCCTCCAGGTCGACTCCTCCCCAACCTCGAGATCTCCCAAGTTGGGACCCGGGGCAGAGCAGTCCTCCATACCCTCTACCCCTGAAGAAAAGGCAGAGTCCAGGGCAAAAGCTGACAAGAAGGGGGGCCTGCTGGTGGGACCCAGAAGCCTCGGCAAGAGAAACCAGCTCAAATGCCTCTGTCTCCAACCTGAATGGGGCAGCCCCCGAAACTGCCCGAGTCTCATTACTAACTAAACCCTTCTCCGACTCCGAAACCCTCAGACTTTTGGGAGCCAAAAGCAAGGGGGAAGGTGCAGGACAAACAACAGGGAAAGGACCAGGGAGCACGGACTGAACCAAAGTCGAAGCAACTAATGGCCCGAGGACCGAGTCCCTATAACCAAAGCAGGGTAGCTGCAGGGTATCCGGGCGGGAAACCAACCTAACGTGTTGCAGCAACCTAAACCGAGCATGCAACACGGATGCTGCCTGTAATATCATCAGAATAATATTGGAGTACAAGCAGAGAACACGACTTGCAAGACTCCGGGGTCAAAGATGTCATTGACCCAACAAGCAGCATGATGGAGGCAAAAGAGGTGTATCTCAGGGTGACAGGGTGAACAGTCACCCTGAGACACGGGCACACAGCAACCTTCAAACCCGCAACAAGGTCGGCTGGAACCCAGAAGATGCATCTATTGGTCCACTGAACCCCGACAGGGTTTTCTAGGGCCCGTAGAATGTTGACTACGGGAAGCCCGGGCAAGGTGTTGCTAACCGGTTAAAAACACAAAGCTAATGAAGGAGGAGTACAACACTGAAACCCCTGTGACATGCACAATCATGGGGACCTAACAAAGGGCCACCAAAATATTATCAGTGGAACTATAGCACACGAGGCAGACCCCCAACAGGCAATTAAAAAAAAAAGAAAAGAAAACCCTGCAAAAGTAAAACGTTCCCAGCGGCAACAGGAACCAGGAACTGCATAGGTAGCCAGGTTGCACAAACACCTTGACACCCCAACCAGCACAATAACAGTTCCTACCCAAAGCCAAACAAGGGCCATAAACCCCAGCTGGCCCTAAGGGTGAGGTAAATGCCGAGCAACAAGAACCTCCACAGAAATGGGTCCCAAATGTCCCCGGGAAAAGAACCCAAACAGGCAAGGGCAGTACTCACAGGGCGCTAAGGGAATGAAGCCCCTAAGCGCATGCAGCCCCGGTACTGATGAGTAACTCCTGGCCACCACACACACAACAATAACACAGCAAAGGACGCCACGAAGGCAAACTTCGCCGAGGAATTTGAGGCCAGAGAAGCGTCTGTCCTGGTTGACACTAGCTTGTGAACTGAAGGCCTGAGTAGCTGGCATGAGGAGGTTCGGCCCCTACCCCCCCTCCTCCACTTGAGGAAGGTAGGGCTGCGTTGACAAGCGGTGCGACAGCAGTGTGACGTTTGCTGGTTTCTGTGGGATTGGAGGGAATTCTACTTCTCTTTTCGGATTTTGTTGTTAATTTCTTACCGTGTGGGGTTTGTTTTGTAAGTCCTACCTTTCTGGGTGCCTAACCCCAGTCGAAGGCAAATAAGGAAAACCTGCAACCACAGGGGGGGTTTTCCAGGACCATTGATCCCTGAAACCTCTCTGAAGGGGCCAAGTTCTGGCTTGTGGTCCCTAGTAGGTCAAACTCCATAGCTAATGTCACGGTCTAATATAAAACATATTAGCCCGATACCTCCAGGGAGCCATAGGGGTTCCCCACGGAAGCTTATCAAAGCCATGGGAGCCCCCCACGGGAGTCATTGCCCCCCCCCCCCATTGGCTTGGGTGGGTGGGAATCCCACTGATACACTTGTAACCAAAATCTCCAGTAGTTACTCAAAACCTGCCAAACACACACTGAAACTATGACGTTGGTACAACGTTCGAACAAGTTTTAACACCTAACCAGTTATAACAACCAATATAGCAAGTTGTAACAACGTTCTAATACGTCATAAACACGTTAAGCCAAGATGTAACAACTTTATTACAAGTTGTAACAAGCGGAAATTAGAGACAGTTTCGGTTTGTGTTTCAAATTTGATAGTAAGAACATAACTGAACTTCTTAACAGCAAATAAATATGTTATAAAATATCTGACCTTAGCATCAAGAGCCTTTTTAATCGATGCCCTTCGCTGAATTTTAGCCTCGCCCCTCTCAATCTGTGCCAGAATGCGATCACAATCTTGAAGCTCAGAGCATCGTTCCCAGAAGACTGCAGAGTACTCCATCACCTCATCAGGTGTTTTACCTTCAACTTCCTGAAAGATTGTTTTGTCAATAATAATAATATTTTATGCCTAAATAACATTTTATGTTCTGACAATAAAATAAGAACTACCACATGATGAGAAAAAGTTTTTGGTCTGGAACTAGAGCAAATGGGGAATACTGTGACATATAGCCTTGCTAAACCTGAATCATTTTCTCAAACTACATGCATCTGAAAATACCAGTTGATTGGAAAGTTATCTTAAGATATTTTATTCAACTAGTATGGCAGCCAAAGTTGAGTACGGTACCTGTATGTACATTGCAACGGTCACTGTTAGATAATATTTCTACTTGCCAAATAATTAATAAAGCATTTCTATATACACACAAACAAATAGTACATTCTACATTATGCTTTATGCCTCTGATCATTGGCCAATATTTGCCAAACTAGCTTGTGTACACATTCTGCAGACCTTTGGAGATGAAAAGTCTTCAATAGCACAAACAAAAGGTTAACTTCAACCTTGCAAAGTCAACATACAGCAAACACATTACTTTTCAGATTAATTAACTCATCAAAGAATTTACACTGCAAAGCTGTTTAAGGAAAATGAGTGCACAACTTAAAAGATTGACCTGAAGAAGCGCTTCCAAGAAAAATAAGCATCTCTCATAACCTGCAGGATTCCTAGTCCTGGCAGGGTCAATAGCTAAGGTAGTCCTCAATACATCAGGTACAGATTATTGGCATTAACCATCAGTCAAACTTACCTTTGCAATGTTTTCAATATCATCCCGTCCAAACTTTTCATTGGCTTTGATAAACTGGTTGAAGTCTCTCTTGCTCCAATTGAGGAAACCTTGAGTAAGAAGACTGTCTCGTTCCTCCATCTCCTCTTCTGTAACTGGCTCGGCTTCATCAATCTTCTGCTGTTCCTCTTTCTGGATGCGAGCTGCTTCTCCCATAAACTCTGGGTTCTTGGGAACCTGTAACACAAGCTTCTCATAATACTGAAACAAACAACATACACTAAAGCTATATGTAAATACTTTTTGCAATACATCAACTAAAATATCTGAATACTTTTGTCTTTCTTGCAATATTTATTGAAAATGCATTCCCCCCAAAATGCCTTGGTAACCGCACCAAATTTTAACCTCGCTAGAGAAAATCTAAACTGTGATGCTGATACAGTATTCTGCATATTTCCGATCCTGTTGGGTTACTTACCTCCTGTATTTCCTTTATGCTCTAATGTTGTATCAACACAACTAATCCTCCCATTTATTCTTTATTTCCTTTCATCCTGGCATACCTTGCCTTGAAGTTACCTTGCAGTGCTTCCGGGCCTTAGCGTCCTCGCGACCCGGTCGTCGACCAAGCCATTGCTGGACTGGTCAACCAGGCTGTCGGACGCGGCTGCTCGCAGCCTGACGTATGAATCACAGCCTTGTTGATCAGGTATCCTTTGGAGGTGCTTATCGAGTTCTCTCTTGAACACTGTGAGGGGTCGGCCAGTTATGCCCCTTATGTATAGTGGAAGCGTGTTGAACAGTATCGGGCCTCTGATGTTGACAGAGTTCTTTCTCAGAGTACCTGTTGCACCTCTGCTTTTCAATTGGGGTATTCTGCACATCTTTCCATGCTTTCTGGTCTCATGTGGTGTTATTTCTGTGTGCTGGTTTGGGACCAGCCCCCTCTAATATTTTCCACGTACAAACTATTATGTATCTCTCCCGCCTGCGCTCAAGAGAATACATATTTAGGCATTTTAGTCGGTCCCAATAGTTTAGAAGTTTTACTGAGTGGATTCTAGCAGTAAAGGATCTCTGCACGCTCTCCAGGTCACCAATTTCTCCAGCTTTGAAAGGGGCTGTCAATGTGCGGCAGTATTCCACTCTAGAGAGCACTAGCGTCTTGAAGAGTATGATTATTGGTATAGTATCTCTAGTGTGAAAGGTTCTTGTTATCCAACCTATCATTTGTCTTGCTGTTGTGACGGCTACTTTATTGTGTTCTTTAAAGGTAAAGTCTTCTGACATGAGTACACCCGAATCCTTTACATTCCTTTTTCGTTCTATGTTATAATTTGACTGAGTTTTGTACGTGGTTTCCATTTTTATATTTTAATTTTTTCTGTAGCGCATGAGCTGGAACTTATCTTCGTTAAACATCATATTATTTTCCGTAGCCCATAGAAAGACCTAATTTACATCTGATTGGAGGTTTGCCGTGTCCTCTATATTGTCTACTCTCATAAAAATCCTAGTGTCATCTGCAAAGGATGATACGGTACTATAGATTGTGTCCTTGTCGATATCCGATATGAGGATGAGAAAAAGTACTGGAGCAAGCATAGTACCCTGAGGGACTGAGTTCTTCACGGTTGATGGACCGGATTTTATTTTGTTGACTATTACACATTGGGTTCTGTTAGTAAGGAAATTGTAGATCCATTTTATGTGCAATAACACCATGATCACATTTGTCGAAGGCCTTTGCGAAATCTGTGTAAATTACATCAGCGTTTTGTTTGTCTTCCATGGCATCTAATGCCATGTCATAGTGGTCCAGCAACTGTGATAGGCAAGAGTGCCCTGTTCTGAAACCATGTTGCCCAGGGTTATGGTGATGCTGGGATTCTGTGTGTTTTGTGATCCTACTTCTTAGCACTGTCTCAAAGAATTTTATGATGTGTAATGTTAGTGCTATCGGTCTGTAATTTTTGCCCCTGCCTTATTTCCTCCTTTATGGAGTGGTGCTATCTGTTATTTTTAGTATGTCAGGGATAACGCCAGTATCTAGGCTTTGTTTCTAAAGAATGTGAAGGGCCTGCGATAGTGTTTTTTTTACAGTTCTTGATGAATATGGAGTTCCAAGAATCAGGGCCTGGTACAGAGTGCATAGGCATACTGTCTATGGCTTCTTCAAAATCCAGTGGGGATAGGGTGACATCTGATACATGATTTGATGTTGGTATCATATCCATGAAAAATTCATTTGGGTTTTCAATCTTTAGTGTTTAGTGGCTCACTGAAAACAGAGTCGTACTGATTCTTCAGTACTTCAATCATTTCTTTGTTGTCATCTATGAAAGTTCCATCTCCCTTTCGCAGGGGCCCCATACTAGATGTGTTCCTCCTCTTCACAATCTATATTTTTTCAGTTTTGTCTCCACAACTGTCACATATGATGACGCAGTTCTGCCATCCAGCAGTGGCCTGACAGCTGAGTGGACAGCACTCGGGATTCGTAGTCCTGAGGTTCCGGGTTTGATCCCCGGTGGAGGAGGAATCAAATGGGCATAATTTCTTTCACCCTGATGCCTTTGTTCACCTAGCAGCTAATCGGTACCTGGGAGTTAGACAGCTGCTACTGGCTGCTTTCTGGGGATGTTTAACAAAAAGGAGTCCTGGTCGAGGACCGCAGACCTTGGCCTCGACCTCGGCTCCAACCGAGGTCGGAGCCGCGGAAATACCTCCGGGTTCGGACACCGAGCAAGCAGCGCCTGATACCATGGCAGGGCCAGCCACCAAGGGGCCAAGAAGACAACTTTCCCCTGGTAAGTCTCCAAGCGAGTCAGGACCTGGAGCAACAGCTGAACTGGGGGAAAGAGGTACAGGAACCCCGACCTCGACCAGTCCTGCCGAAAAGCGTCGACCCTGACGACCTTCCCAGTTAGGAAAGGGCGCCACATACAGGGAAAGGCACCGCAACCATGCCAATGCGAAGAAGTCCACCTCGGGGCGTCTGAACGTCTGGCAAAGCCAACGGAAGGAGTCAGTGTCGACCATCCATTCCATGGAGAGGGGAACGAAACAAGACAGGCCGTCGGTCAAGACGTTGGACACTCCCCGCACGTGAACTGCCAGGAGAGCCAAACCCCGAGAACTCAGCAGATGAGTCACCCGAAGCAACTAGCGCTAAAGACCCAAGGACTGTATCAAATCCCCACCCCCCCCCTCCCCCGGAGCTGGATCGTCAACCATTGGGCGACTCAAATCCTCCGAAGAGCAAACCACACCGCCGCGAACTCCCGCACAGTGCTGTGGGCTTGAGGGAAGGACAGACCCCACTGACACTGGCCGGCCTGGTGAACACTGTTCACAAAGCCCCAGCCGAGAGACGACGCGTCCATGAACACATCGAGCGAGGGCTCGGGTAGGCGCCAAGGCACTGAATCTTAAAAAACCAGAAGAAGAAGCTGGTGCAACCGACACAAAGCCCCCGGGGTCGGAACCCAGTGATCGCACGAGAGGTGGAAGGGACGTCCCCAAAGGAACCAGAACAGCCGACGAAGCCAAACCCGACCCGGCGGGTAGACCAACATTACGAAGTTCAGGCTCCCGCATAGACCCTTGAGCAACCGCCGGGTAACCCGGGAGCCCCCCAGAAACTGGCACAAGCAGAACCGCAGCCGCAGAAAAGACTCCGGAGGAAGAGACAAGGAAGCGGTCTGAAAGTCTCACACAAGGCCCAGCCAGGTCCGAGAACCTGGGAGGGAACCAGATGGGACTTCCTCCAGTTAACCAAGAACCCGAACCCGGTGAGCTGAAAAAGAACCAGATCCCTGGGTAGCAGACAAGCCGACTGGCTGGGAGCCAAAACCAGCCAGTCTTCGAGGTAGGCCAACACCCGAACACCTAACAGACGCAGATAGGTCACCACGACTCGCGTGAGGTGCGTGAAAACGGGAGGTGCCAGGTTCAAACTGAACGGAAGACAACGAAAGCGGTAAGCACGAAGCCCCACAACAAAACCGAACCAGTCCCTGAACCCCGGATGAATCAGGACGTGCCACTAAGCGTCCCGGAGGTCCAGGGACACCATCCAAGCACCCGGCTCCAACAGAAGCTGAACGGAAGGTAGGCGTCCCAAAACAAACCCCTATTCTGGTGAAAATTGCAACCAAAAGCCGAACAAGTGGATAGAACTCCCCAAACAAAAACGAGCAAACTAGTATGACGTCACCTGTTGTCGCATCGCTGTCTGCGCAGCCCCCCCCCCCCTCCCCGGAAGGGGGAAGGGGTAGCCCCAGGCCTACCATGCCGGCGATCCACACCCCAGTTCTTGAGGTTGATGCTATCGGCTCGGTTGTGTGCTCTGGCTCCAGTATTTTTGCGGCGCTGTGCCTTGTGAGTGGATGCTGTTCTCCAGGGGTGTGAAAGCCAGGAGTTATTGCAGGCTGCATGCGCCTAGGGTTCCCTTCCTTAAGGGGTCGTCAGAGGATTATAGATGAAAGTTGTTCAATGTCAACTAATATTAATTTTCTAGTTGTATATGAAAAGTGCTTAAATTGTCCCAAGTTTCAGTACTGCAGCGTAAATAGAAAGGGAGTTTTTTTTTTTTTTTTTTCAACGTTTTTTACACATTTTCAAGTCCACACTTCAGAACACACGTTTCAGATATAATTATTCTGTGAGACTTTTCTGACACATTAGCATATAATAAAGGATTTGGGGCTTTAGAATTTCCAAAACATCTTTAGTTTTCCTAATACAAATGTTCAAAGTTCCCCAAATTTTTTTTGCAAATATGGCATGTTTATTGCTATTATAAAATCAATAAATGAACTTAGAGAAAAATGAAAGCCCCCCAATGTAGAGACATGCCCTTCACATATACTATGTAAGTTTCATGTAAATTGAATAAAAAAGGAATCAGTTTTGTAAACGTTTGTGTCAATTGAAAAAAAACAGAAATGAATAAAGTCTAAGGTTCTAAAGTCTGTGGCTGAGGTTGACATCAACCAATTTTCTCCAAAATTGGCATCCTTACAGATAGGCTTACGTACAGTCAGGTGTGTAAGTTTGATGCAAATCGCCCAAAAAAAAATGAAAAAAACAAAAATATTTAAATAAAAAAAAAAGAAAAAAATACTTTTTTTTTTTCTTAAAATTTTTTTCCAATTAAACTAATTATAATATTTGTTTAATATATGCTATTGTGATAGCAAAAGAGTCATAGCTATGATTTCAGTTGACACTTTTGATTGATAATCGATTTTGACCATTTTTGTATAATTTTCACAACTACTACAATATTTTTTTTCTTCCTTCCTATTTATGCTACGATGCTGAAACTTGGACCAGATGAAACACTTTTCATATAGAACTTGTCAAAAAAGTTTGATTGAAATCGAACGAGTTTTCATTTTTGCATTTTTGGACCCAGATGCCAACCAGATGCCCCCTTAAGTGCCTTGTAAGTGCTGCCCTTGGAGCTTGGGGTTACCTTCCACAAGTTCCTCGGGGTCTGCTTCTGTGTGTCCATTTTACTGCTCGGTTTCTCGGCCGCCCTTTGGGTACTTGGGTATTTTGTCTCCCTGGTTTACCTTAGGGTAAGAGGCAGTTTTCGCATTGGTAAGGGGTGCAGGGTGCTGCGCAGCTAGTTGTCACCTATCACAGCGGCCGGCTCTGTTCCTTGGGGTCCTCTTGCGGGATTTTGTTTTCCCTTTGATTTTGCCTTGGTCGGGGGTTCTGCCCTATTTGCCACTGGTGTTTGGCCTCACCTTGATATTTGGTGGTACCCCCTGCTTTGTCCCCTTGAGAGTACACGTCCCTAGGCTTCAGCTTTAGACAGTTTGTTTGGAAGTTTTGGGCGCCGGTTAGCAGTACCCTGCCTGGGTTTACCTGAACACGAGTCCTCTTGAAATAAATGCTCAGGACCCTGGGAATTCCCTAGGGGGACGCGTGGGTCTGATGGATATGACGCCGAGGTCCCTTCTCGCTTCATGCGAGTTAGAGGGTTGTTCGGTTCCCTTGTCTCAGGGCAACCCCTCACTGTTTTTGCCTCAGTCACGCAGCTTGTTGGGTCGGTGACACTTGCTACCCTGAGTCCTGTGAGTATTGTTGCTTGCTGGTGGCTAAATTTACTCAATCTATGGATGATCATCTTTGGGTACAGGGTGCGTAGGTGTTGCATTTTAGGTTTCGGTTGTTGCAACGCACTCGGTTGGTTGCTCACCCGGATGCCCCAGGGCTGCCCCGTTTTGCTTATAGGGACCCAGACTTGGGGGTGGGGGGTCGCTTCGACACTGGTTCAGTCCGCACCTCCTGGTCCTTCCCCTCCTGTTGTTCGTTCTGGCCCCCCTTCCCTGCTTCCTGCCCCGAAACGTCTGAGGGTTTCGGAGTCGGGGAAGGGGTTAGTTGGTCTTGAGACTCGGGCAGCCTAGGGGGATGCCTCTTCTGGTGTGGCGACGGAGGCATTCGAGTCTCCTTCCCCGGCCGAAGCCTCTGGGTCTGACCAGTGGGCCTCATTCTATCCGGCTTCTACGACTGCGCCGGCCTTGTCTAGCGGGGTCGGGTTTTGGGGGGAGGACTCGGCCCCGGGTCCTGTGAAGGAGGACCCTGGGGCTGGCGAGGGGCTGACTTGAGGGTGTTGGGCCCCACTGGACCCCGCCTAGGTTTTTTTACCCACTGAGTGGGGCTTACTCTTACAAGGAGTGGGGTTTCCTTTTCTCCCCTCTGCGTATGAGTTGGACTTGGTGTCAGCTGGTTCGGTTCCGTCTTCCTGGAGGTCTTCGGCTTATCGCATCCAACCTGCTGCGGTGCGGGCGGCCCTTGCGGCAAACCTCCTGTGTGACCCGGATTATGCCTCAGCAATGGATCCCTCAGCTTTCAGGTTTGGGACTTCGTTCCCTTTCTGGTTCCGTTACAAGGTTCCGGAGTCGTCCTGGCTGGTGGACTGTCCTGTCTTTACCTTGGAGGCTTGGCACTCCTGCCGTTCCCACACGCTTGAGTGGCAAGGCTTCAACGGTGCTTCAGGTTTTCCTGGGGGGACGACCTTGAGCGCCTCAATGAGTGCTTGCTTGCTCCTGCCCTTTCTCAGGATGTTGGTGTCATTCAGCTCCATGTTCAGGTTCCCTCCCTTTCGGTGGTGCAGGTGGCGGAGGACTTGTGCACTCGGGGCCTTTTGGTTGCGGCCTTGCGCTTATTTTTCCTCCTGGAGCTGTCTTTCGACTGGCTCACAGAGGATGTGGGGGCGCTTGGGGCTGTTCCTGGGTCTGGCGCCTTGGCCTCGGCAGCTCGCTCATCGGCTTCCTTGTTGAAGCTTTTCGCGCCAATCTTGCGGGATGCGGTGGCTCTCTTTTATGCCTCCCGGCTTGCGTGTTGGCAGACGGTGCTTGCCTCCTCTGTGGAAACCACTTGGGCCTTGGCTCTTAGGATGTCTTACTTTTTTTTGCCCTCTTTTGTTTTAGGCTTCTGCCGTTGCGCAGTATATTCAGGCTGCTTCGGCTTCTTGCCGTCCTGTGTTGGACTTGCCGGTTCTCCGGGGGTCCCATGGTGGACCTTCCCGGAAGGGTCGTTCCAAGACTTGCGATTCCTCTCGTCATGGTTGGCCACTAGTGTCAGGTTCGGGTTAGGCTCCTCCTTCGGACCCGCCTTCGTCTGGTCAGCGCAGTGTTCGCTCTGTGCGAGGGTCTGGGTCTCGCAAGGGGTGCCGGCCCTTTCGCGGTTTGCCCCATTGACAGGACGATAGGGGGAGGCTAGCGCTGTTCGCTCACGCGTGGTCCCACGATTTGTGGGCATTTTGGGTCGTTTCGCACGGCCTCCGGTGGCGTTGGGTGGCTCCTCCCCTTACCTGGGGTTCGGGACTGGCGGGGCGGGCTTCTTTCCCTGCGCTCTGTCAGGTCATCTTTGAGTGGGTTCGCTTGGGCGTGGTCAAAACGACGACGTCCCTCAGATGGGTCTCCCATCTGTTTCCAGTCCCAAAACGGAACTGCGAGGACCTGTGGTTCATTCTGGACTTGTCCTGTCTGAATCCCTGGGTTCATTGCCCCTCCTGCCCCTCCAGGAGCAGTAGGGGCAACCATCTACCATCTACCGTCTACCATCGCCTACCCGGTCGATGGTAGACATAGAATGCTTCCAATTACACGGGGGTTTCTATAGGCCATTGCTCCCCTTGCCTCTCTAGAGGGGGGCCAGGTTCTGGCACGTGGTCCCTGGTAGGCCCATAAGAACTCCATACACATGACTGATGCCAAAGTCTGACATTAGTATATCAGCCTGGTAAGCTCCGGAGAGCCTCCGGGACTAGGCCAGAAAATGGCGTTTCATTACATTCAAAACTATTTTTGTTTTTCACCATCAGAAAGAAATGTTCTTTGATATGGAAAGGAAAAAGAATTTGTTTGAATGTGTGCACCAGAAAATTTACCTAATTTAACAAGTGTTATTCTACCACTCTGCCTAAGGAAGAAACTAAATAGCCTAGAGGAAATTATAAGTATAAATATTGTGTACACAAATGCAGGAAGAGTTTCAAAGAAAGGGTCAAATGGCAAGACTGGGTTATCTTGAGGTTATCTTGAGATGATTTCGGGGCTTAGTGTCCCCCCACGGCCCGATCCTCGACCAGGCCTCCTTTTTGTTACACAGCCCCAGAAAGCAGCCCGTAGCAGCTGTCTAGCTCCCAGGTATCTATTTGCACCAAAAAATTGAAAGTGTTTGTGCAAGTTTTAAAAACTTGAGTTATGTCAAATCGTATATGTATGTTTTGCACAGTTAAAGGGTTAATGCACTAGTGTTCTCTCTAGAGCAGAATATTGTTGCACACTAACAGCTCTATTCATAGCTGGAGAAATTGTTGACCTGATGAGTGTGCAAAGATCTTTTACTGCTAGAATCCATTCAATAAAACATCTAAATTATTGGGACTGCTTAAAATTTTTAAGTATGTATTCCTTGGAGTACAGGTGGGAGAGAGACATAATAATTTAAACTTAGAAAATACTAGAAGGCTGGGTTCCAAATCTACACAGAAATAACACCACACGAGACCAGAAGGCATGGCAGGATGTGCAAAATTGCCCGCATTGAAAAGCAGAGGTGCAAGAGACACACTGAGAATTCGGTCAACATCAAAGGCCCAAGACTCTTCAATACTTTCCTTATGCACATGTGGGCCGTAACTGGTCAACCTCTTGATTAGCTAATCCATTAATGTGATGAAATCATGCAGCCTGTTTAGATCACCTTGTTGTATTGCATAATCATGTCCACTCTTTATACTGTACTCCTTTTTTTTTTTATCAGTTGTGCATCATGTGCAAATGTTGCCCCTCAGAATCTCTCTCCTCTGACTGTCTAATAGGTATCATTCATCTCTAATTGTTTCACCTAGCTGTGATTGTCAGGTGAGCTTCATCTCACTAGTCCCACCTCTTAATGTACTATGTATTTGAACACAATCCAAAAACAATAGTTCAGCCAGCAAATAATTCTACTCCTGTATCATATATTAAAGGCACTTGACTCACTATTATTTCTACATGTAGCCAGTTACTGCCATCTGCTTACCTTGTAGCTGACAGTTTTCCGGTAGTAGTAGATCTCCTTATCCAGCAACTCAAACAATCTGGGAGGGAAGAACTGGAAGTCCTGAACCACTGGCTGCTTGGGTGGACGAGGTGCCTGAAGGAAAATACACAATCACAATAACATGTTTGCTGCCATTACCAATTAGCTTTCTTGAGGGTACCATCTCTGGTTGTATTAGTGGGGACCCTTTGCCTTTGAGAAGAGAATATTCAACACCCAGGGAAGGCCTGTGAGGCTCCCACATATGCACTTGCATTGTGTCTTCCCTCTAACCACCCCTCATTTTTATTATTTTACCTTAAACTTTATTACATAAGGATAATAGCCACATGTTGTCATGTTCAAGCTCCACACAAAATATGGAGGAACCATATACAGCTTGCTCGTTCTTTCTGCAATGCCAAACCGAGACACGGTAAAAGGTAGTTGACAGCCTTTGGCACTTCCTGTTGTTTTGATGAGCTTAGAATCCTAGTTTCTTGAGACAACTCTTGGCACTTTCATCCCTGGTTTTGGCTAATGCCCATATAAATGGCAATGCCACCAGCATGACCGATACTGAAGTCAATGTAGGTATCACAGGTTGATATGTACACAGTCCCAACACCATCTGCATAAATCTGCATGTCCACATGGGTAAGGAGTGCTGCAAATAAGTTTGCATGGTCAATGGTGGTATCCTGGCAAACATGACAAAACTATGACATTGCTGCAATGTTAGAACAAGTTGTAACAATTTTCTAACATGTCATAAAAACTTTATAACAAAATGTAACAACTTTTTAACAAGGCAATAATACAGACCAATATGTCGTCTGTTTGCAGGGATGGAGCAGCTGACCTCTTCTGCCCAAATCACCAGTATTCTTGTACCCAAGATAGTCTAATTTTGCATTATATTGATAATTTCAGACGTATATAAAAGAAATTATTATTAATAATAGCCAATTCATAAAGCATACAGAGCAAGATCTCACGTCCCCTTAGTCAGTGATAGGTAAGCACACATGTTGAGAAGCTGGGACATTGAAGAAATTGGCAATGGTCATACCTCTTTACAGTAAGGTTCTGCTGATAGAGATCCTTTGTGTGACAAGTTAAACTTTTAAATTTCACTGTGTAAACTTTGCTCATAGAGCATGGGAAACTTGTGCTAATGGTAACTCCTTTAATTTGACTCAGAATGACTTGAAGATTTTTGTAGATGGTCACAAAACTAAAAGCACGTTAATGCCCCGAGAAACCCACACTGGGCATAGTTAAAACAAAATTGAATGGTTCATTTTTATTCTGAGCATCATGCACTTTCTCACACCTGGAGTAACTGCACTAACTCTGAAAGTAAGTTACCGAACTTGGGGCCATGAGGTTAAGTGAAGATAATGGTGAAATCTCTATAATCAGGTTCTGCTAGTACATGTCCATCATGAGACAGGTTGTAGTTTAGAGTTCGTTCAGTAAACATTGCCAATAAGACAGAGGGAAACAAGATGAGACTTCTCAAATTTTTCTGAAAATGAGTCTTGGAAATGTGTCTGTTTATATTAAGGACAAAACTCAAATTTTTAGCAGTCTGAAGTAGCCAGTAACACTGAAGTTAGTTCATCATTCTCTGCCCCCAATGTATCATCACCTTCTACTGCTTCCTCCTTCATATACTATCATCAAGTGATGAGTGGTGGTGGAGGAGCTATGATTTCTCTGCACTCCGTGACTCTGCACCACAGCAAGAAATGTGTAATGGACGGTCAGATGATCGGAACCAAGGATCTGTTGTTAGTTAAGTAACAGTTCCCACCTCATGTCCCACTGAAGTAATATTGTTCCATGGAACAATTTATGATCAATGCGTATTTATCTGAATGTCTATTGACTTTGATGGGTCTTTTGTCTATAATTACTGTTAATTGATTTCTGAGTTGACTAGCAAAAGGTAGTGATATTAGTTCATTGGTTTGGATATTTTCAAATACTTGCCAAGTGAAGTAAGCCTCATTAATGTTGATTTAAGTTTTGCTCTTTCATTTCTTTTGTGACTAAAGAAGGGGGTTTGTGAATAATGTAAGAATTTGAGTTCAAATGGCCAAAGGCAGCCATTAGTGAGTTCTGAGTCAGTTGGGCACTTCAATTCCATTTTTGAGAAGAGGCTATTATTGTAATGTGTAATCTACTTTTTCTTAATTACAGTACACTACATTTTATGAACTTCATTTTAGTGTCCCTCCTTTCTCTGTTATTTAATTGAACCTGAAGAGGACGAGTTATAGCAAATTCAAATTTCTTGTACACTGTGGGTAATTAATTCCAGACACAAAGCCATTTGTCCAGAACACTGATGAGATCCTGCAGTGCCAGTGTCAGCATAGTACCATGGCCTAGGTACCTGAGTAAGCCCATAAGAAGAAAGAAGCATCTTAGCTTCCTATTGATGTTTGTGTGGTTGTACGAGATGTGACAAGAGGTGATTTGAGAAGAGTTTATGGTGTGAACCGAATGTGGGAACTCATTTGCCCCGAATGACGAGTTAGAGACGATTTGCTAAGGAAGATGACAAGACGCCCTGTGAAACCACGCAGCTGGCCAAGTGTAAAACACCTGCAGAGGTCCATCAGTTGAGCTCCCCACTCTACCCCATCACCCCTTGGGGACCTTGGGGGATAGATCTTTCAGGAAGATGCTGGGGTCCTTGTTGTCTGAGTGTGACAATCACAGGGAAAGTGCAGCAAAGTACTTCTGCTTGATACCTGCTTGATGGAGTTCTGGGAGTTTTTCTACTCCCCAAGCACGGCCCGAGGCCAGGCTTGACTTGTGAGAGTTTGGTCCACTAGGACAAGGTCCGCTTTCTTTCCTCCTTTTCTGGCATGACTTATGCCTGTGAACCAATAACATTCATCATCTATATAAACGATTTACCAGAAAGAATACAGAACTATAGGAACGTGTTTGCTGACGATGCTAAGTTACTAGGGAAGATAAGAGACTTAGGCAATTGTCATGCCCTTTAAGATAACCTGGACAAAATAACTGGAGCAACATGACATATGGAATTCATTGTAAATAAATGCCATGTTATACTGGTCAACAATTTTGTAAAAGTTGTCTGCTTCTGAAGACAAGCAGACCAATCATCAATAATAATAATAATTAAAATTACTGATCAGGTATTGTTTTATGTGTGAGGATAACAAAATCTTCCTTTATTCAACACATGATGGATGCTGAACATTATTCATTTTAGCTCCAATTATGGACGAAGTGGCAAGTCTTTAATGACAATATGGGAATTTTATTTTATTTATTTATTTCTATATACAAGAGTTGTTACATTCTTGTACAGCCATTAGCATGCATAACGTTTCAGGCAAGTCCTTAATCCTATGTTCCCTGGAATACAACCCCGCCAAATTGTTTAACAACCAGGTACCCATTTTACTGTTGCGTAAACAGAGGCTACAGTTAAAGATTGCCGCCCAGTAAATCCTCCCAGGCCAGGATACAAACCCAGGACAAAGCGCTTGCGAAACGCCAGGCGAGTGTCTTACCACTACACCACGGGGACTTTCCACTACACCATGGGAATTTCTCGCATGACTCTCCCACTCACGAAGACAACAACAGTACATACTGTACTTTGTGTATCCATCCTGCCAGACCCATCACAGGAGCAACAACCTTCAGGTCACCACAGAGCTGCCACTGATGTTGGCCATCATTTATGCATCTCAAAAGCTGCCTTATGTTGTCGTAAGTTTCCCTCACATGGGCTGCACAACCTAATGGAATTGATGGCAAATTGCTTCCATTATGCAGTAAAACAGCTTTAATACTCGTCGTGGATGAAACCTTGAGCTAATCAACAATTTTAATCATTTCCATTCTGTGACCCTTACTTAGTCAAGATTGACCTTATTTGTTTTGGAAGCATTTTGGCCATATACCCGTGTTATGGAATGTGGAATAGGAGAAAATAGGCCAAATACAACCTACAAATTATGTGGAAAGGCATTAGAGAACTCTGAAAAAGACAGAGAACTAGGGGTGGTTCTGGATAGTAGATCATCAGAGGAACACATAAAGGACATTGTGCCCGGCCTTCCATTAAATATATTTCACATATTGTTTGCCTTCTTTCTATTTCTGTAAATTTATTTTCATCTATTCTTACACTTTCCATGTTCCATGAATGCAGGGAACTGTAGATAACAAACATTCTACTACTTCCCAGAAAATTACAATGTTCATTAATAAAAAAATTAAAAGCACACATACACAACATTCAAGATTAAATGATTATCAAGCCACCCAAATCAATGAATGTTTTGGACACCTACCTTTGGGGCTTTGGGTTCGGACACCCTGAGTGCTTCCCTAAAATACGCGTCCACAGCATAGTTGGCCTTCCTCTCTCGTTTTGGTGGCTCAATCCACATGCCAACTATTGCTTTTTGCTTATTTCTGAAAGCCAAAAGGTATGTCTTGCTGTTTAATAGTGAAATCACTACATTTGTCATGCTTTTAAGTGAGAAATCAACTGCACATCATGCTTTTAATTGTAAAATGAGCCATAAAAACCTAGTGTTAAATATAATGAAACACCTCTTTCTGGTAATGCCCTGGTGGCTCTCTGAAGCTATCAAGCTGAAATTGGTCCACCTAAAGGGGTCACACATCAGTCATGAGAGTTCTGTTTAGCCTACTGGGGACCAGAGCCAGAACCTGGGCCACAAAGGTGGAGAGAGTGAGTGACAGTTCTCCATGCCACCAGGAAAGCATCCAGATAGCCAGCAAAGTTTTAGATTACTGCAGAGTTCACAGAAAATGAAGACTCGAAACAACTAAACAACTCTGCGAACAATTCAAAGGAAACAATAAATTCACTCATAACTAGCTTGAATATTTTAGTACCAATAGCTGCCACCAAGTAGCCCAGCCCCAGGCAACTCCCAGGATCAGTTCTGGGGCTGATAAACAACCCACTGACAACAAACTGACGAACCTGTAGGGAAGGGCGGAAATCGAGGAGCCTCCAGGGATCTACCAGAATTAGGCATCTCATTACATTCAAGATTCTCCTGGTTGAACCTGAATGATGAGCAGACGTCTCGACACCTGCTCCACCTGAGAGCTTCTAGATCACATTACTTCATGCAATTTTACCCAATGGATCTCAATACTGCTGTCTGGCATTCCTATTCAATGGCCCAGATTGTTGCGACGCCTGGTGCACATATCCGTTGGGGTCACAGAAAAGTCGAGAGATTTTGCAAGTTTTCAGGTTGGTTCTTTGGGCGGGAAGACGGTGTCCAGTGCTAGCTTGGCTGAAAAGTGCCAGGAGTTTGTGGGTCTTGGTGGGCTCCTGGTATGCCCTCAGGACTGGCTTCTGTTCCGTTGGAGGGCACTGGAAGATTTTAGTTTTTGCCCATATGGGTACAAGTTGAGGAGGCTTTTTGCCTCCTAAACTTGTTTTGGATTTTGCCTTGACTACTCAGTGTTCCCTGTATGGGCTGGCTTGGGGCTGATATTTGCCTTCCTGTGGGACTCCTGGAGCAGGCTCCCCAATTATCTATCAGGGTGTTTATTCTCCACAAGGCTTATTAATTTCGACTGACAGGTGACATTGATTCAACCATTCGGCATTGCAATTTACACTTCAAGGGTATACCGGGAGGGGGGGGGGGCATATACCTCTGCCATCGCCAAGGCAGAAGCCAGAACAGGGTGCAAAGGTCTAAAGCAACACATGACTACCTGGGACCTGAAACATTAACTAATTGGCAGGCTGCCAGAACCTTGTTAGAATATCAAAACCCTTAAGCCCAAATATCATCCCAGGACATGTTGGAAAAGACCGCTGCCAAAGCGGCATAATTGTGAGCACTGTGGGATTGAGGCAGACCGCAGGCTGGCTACACTGTTGACGACCTTGGAAACCACAACCAAGGGAAGGGATAGGGAACAAGGAACCAAGGAAGGAGGATCAACCCGCAACATGTCAACCCAGGCAGAACCGGTAGCCCACAGATAGCAGCCACCGGACACAACAAATGATGCATCCCCCAGCTGGATCAACAAAGCACCAATCGCTAAAGAACCCCATCCTAAAGCCAGCCGACTCATTCTTAGCCAGAAAAGAAGAAGAAGGCTGCAAATTAATGAAATGGCCACCAAGGCCAAAGGAGCAAAACCCCCACCACCAGAGAAGAGCTTGAAGTTCCTGCCCCACATGGCAGCCAGAGGAGAGGGCCAATAAGAACACCACCTTAAGAAATCCATCACGGGACAAAGGGAAAATGATAAACTGAGGTGAGGAGAGAAATCCCAAAACTTTCTCAAGATACCAAACCAGCTACCAAAAGGGGGGGGGGCTGATGGCTGAGCGGACAACGCTTGGGATTCGTAGTTCTAAGGTTCTGGGTTCGATTCCCGGCAGAGGCGGAAACAAATGGGTCAGAGTTTCTTTCACCCTGATGCTCCTGTTCACCTAGCAGTAAACAGGTACCTGGGAGTTAGACAGCTGCTATGGGCTGCTTCCTGGGGGATGTGTAGCAAAAATAAGGCCTGGTCGAGGACCGGGCCGCGGGGACGCTAAGCCCCAAAATCATCTCAAGATAACCTCAAGATAGTTCAGGAGGAGCATGAACAGACTGGAGGCAAAAAATGCACGAGACAACCTGTGGAGCAATGTCAACACTGAATGTAAGCAGCAGCAGTTCTGCCAATGGTGAACGATAAGAGGGAACAGTACTGGGCACGAGATGCTTGTCGAGAAACAACAAGACAAAAATGACAGGACTACCCTGACAGAAAGTGAAGAAAGATGATGAAGATTACCACAATAAATACAAAATGTGAACCAGGTAACTTTACAATGTTGATGCCAGTCAACTTCATAGAACTGCTGCAAAAAAAAAAGATGCAGGTGGGAGACCAACATCCCAGCCATCTGATCGCCTTACAAATGGCGATAGGCCCTCATAAAACACTCCAGGCGTGAAGAGCAGAAGAGAAGGTCGAACCTGTGAAGTACCTCGCTGAAAGAGGTGGAGCCATGGAAAAATACCTAGGTTTGGACACCGAGCCAAAAGTGCCAAGGCTGAACTGGCCACCAGGGAGCCACAAGAATTACTCTCCTGTGTAGGACTAATATTTAAAACACCCAAAACAACAACCAAACTGGGGAAAAGAGGTGAATGCACTCCACCTCGACCAGCCCAACAAAAAGACATCTACCATCAAAGCCTCACAATCATGGAACAGAGCCACGTAGGAGGGAAGGCAATGATTCCACATCGATGTTAAAATATCTACCATGGGGCAACCGTACATCTCGCAAAACCAACGTAAGAATGCATTGTTAATGGTCCACTCCATGAAAATGGGACAGAAGTGAGGCAAACCATCTGCAAGAATGTTACACACACCCAAACCCTAAGAAGCCAGAAGACAAGCAATACAAAAGGTCCAACTCCACAGGGAAAGGGACTGAAGTAACCCCTTCCACTTAGTACAGGCAATGAACCACCAGGGAACAGAGTGAAGCTGGAGCACAGAGCCCAGAGGAAGCCAATTCCTCTTCAGGGCATACCACATAGCTGAGTACTGTGCTCATGCATCGTACTGTACGGGCGAAGGAACAGATCCCACCACCGACCATAGGTGGCTTGGCGAGGGCAGTTCACAAAGCCCTAACCCAGAGACGAGGCATTCATGAACACATTGAGCAATGGAGGAGAGCGGTACCATTGAGCCCAACCCCAAAAAGCCCAAAGAGGAAACTGGCAAAGCAAGAGCCAATGAATGGCAGGCAGGGCCAAACTCAGTAGTCCAGAGAACAGCAGAATGGCAGAACCGGAGAATCCAGTACAACACCCCGAGCCAAACCTTGGCCAGCGGGAAAACCACTAGGGCCTGGGGCTAGTTCAAGCTCCCTAACAACCACCTGACCAATGAACGAGGCCGATTTAACACCCGATGGTGACGAAGCTGCAGACGGAGCAAAGCCACTGACAGCAGGCACAGTGACACCGACCAAGAGCCCTAAATGAGGCCAGCCAAGTATGTCTTGGTCCCCAGTAGGCCTTTGACTGGTATGACTCTTTAGGTGGAACAATCTCAGCAACATAGCTGTAGGGAGCCACTGAGGGGGGGGGGGGGATTCCCCAAGAAAACTAAATAGACAAAAAATAGATGTGAAGTAGAGTCAGAGGCTATCCATACAGTAGCTTCAACCTTCCCTGTAACACATGACCATCCTATGGATGAGTAGTGGGAAGGAACCACACCCAACTTTGAGACCTTTCTGCTACACCATGGCTAAATTGTATTATCAAACCATAATCATCAATCATTTGAAGGTGCACAAAGACACCTGTCATGCACATTACCGCTCATCTAAATTTCAACATAATATTTAGAGGTAATTCTAACGAGATACACTGAATTGAAACTCGGCTGCCCATCATTAGAAATGTAATATAAAGTAAACAAACCTGTAATCTTCGCCCTCAAACTGGTAGACTGAATTAGTGGGGACATCAAGTGTGAACTGGCGAAGCGACGACTCCCCAAGAGCTTCTAGCTTCTTGTTCAACTCTTCTGTCTGTGTGTGTATGTAAATGTCAGTAATGAGCATTTGCACCAGTTAACTATATATTATAATTTAACTCCTAAGATAGTTAAGAACAGTAAAGCATCACTTGCAGATACAGAAAACATGATAATATAACATTCAAAATTAATCATTACACGTATATAAGCTTCATTTTTCAAATTTCAAATTATTTTAGTGTAATTTAAAATGGCATAAAACTATCTTGTGCAGCTTGGGATCGCTTCATGCAACATTTGTCCGAGTTGACTAACTTAGTGTAGAGTAGCGTAGAGTAAATGATCCCTACATCCTCACCACCAGGGTCAGGTACAACATTTGCTTGTTAGTTCACTGGTAACTAAACTCAACCCTAAACAATTGAAAACAACATGAACTTACTCAAGTGAAATGTTAGCAGTCAATTTGTATAACTACAAGAACAACTGATCAAAATAGTGTATCTTTTCCAATTAGTATTTTTTTTGTCAAGAGGCAAATATCACATTATGAAAACTTGCAAGTGTTTGGAGGTGAGCAAGCAGGCAGTGAACTAGCACGTAAACAATATACTGTGCCTCACCCATCATGTGGCTCTACAAGCAATGGCTAGTTTCTATTTTTGTTACTCTTTACATAGTCGGTGACCCTGAACATTGGGGCAAAAGTTTTTTAACAACACAATACAGTCTTATTCCTTACTATAATCTACTTTGAAAATGAATACATGAAGGCACACTTGGGGTTACAACAAGAGGTGACACTAATGATCACCTTCTCTTCTCCCCTTCCAATGATGGAGTCAATGTCTTCATCTGTAAACTCGTCATCTTTCCCTTTAAACACCTCGTTGGCACCGTGTCTTATCATCGCCAGCATCTCGTCCTTGGCCAATGCGTTAGTTTTGTTATCCATCAAGCGACCTGAGAAAACACACTCAAATTCTATCGGAGATGATTCATAAAACAATCAAATAAACAAATACTCGGACTGGAGCTCCTCATTAGGATGGATGAAAATTTCAAAAGGCTAATATACTCCATATGCAGGCGATGAGTCACAATAACGTGGCTGAAGTATGTTGACCAGACCACACACTAGAAATTGAAGGGACGACGACGTTTCGGTCCGTCCTGGACCATTCTCAAGTCGATTAATATACTCCATTATGAAAAACTACACACAGGGTATCCCACGTGCCTGTAACCACAGGATGTACTAACAAAACCAATTTAATTTTTACTTCATTATTTTATTTGCTGCATAGGATGTGTTCAATGTGTCTACCATTATAGTTGATTCACAAAAGCAGACACGGTATCCAGTCAGCAATTACCTGGGCACTGGTGTGAGGAGACTTATGGGACACCCTGTGCAACTGTCCCTGCAGACCCCTTGCCATCTCTCTCATACCATGCTGCAAAGCACTTGACAAACAAATCCTCACTACAAAACACTTGTATACAGTACTGTATATAAACTGACAGAGCAAATACTTCCAACACCTGATATGAATCAAATTTTTCAAACCAACATTTCTTAACATATTAACCACTTAACTGCGCCAACCGAGTATTCTCGGTCGGCGGGAAACTGCGCCAACCGAGAAAACTATTTTTTATTTTTCCTTACCCATTCTAAATTTGTACAAGGTTGGTTGTGCACGAAATGGACTCTTAGGACCTCCAGTGAGAGGCAGCTATCTTGGAAAAAATTCCCAGAATGCCCTAGAGCTGCTGGCTGGGTTAGTACCGAGTGAGCAACCATGGGTGGCGCACGCGCCTCTGGCTCCCAAACACCTCTCTGACGTGGTGTTGAAAGATAACACTCTGTCAGTGAAATTCAAACCTTATTGTTTGAAGAACATAAGGGTCATAATATTGGTGAAGCTAGGCGCAATAAGGACCTAACACAAAGGTCGGATGCAAGTGATACAGCCCCTATGAGAACGATACAGAGAGCGTATTCAGTTGTAGCTCAGAGCGTCACCCTTGCAATCCTATGCTATCTCCAATTTATTTAGAGGATACATAGATGAATCATTTTCTGTGTTCAGTGATGATGCATCTGATACATGTAGCATAGATGAACAGTGTTAGCGGCTTCCATTGTGGTATTTTCCATAGATATTTTCAAGAATACCTGAATCTCTTCCTGACTGATGGACACTCTTTGAGGCTAGCTGAATCTCTTCCTGTGTGGGACCACACAAAACGATCTTTTCAAGACTACCTTACAAATTGATCTTTTCCTATAATCTTTTCAATACTACCTTATGCTTTACAAGCTTGGCTACATACAACCTACAAGTTCTAAAGCCAAGGGTGTACGTGAGTGCGTTATTTGCAAGCACACAGAATGAAGAAACAGGAAGCGAAAATCTATCTGTACCTGGTGCAACGACAGCGAAGTCGCACTGTGCACCATGGACAACTTCATTGATTATTACTCACTTCCGAAGTACTGAGTGTGTAATACAGTGTGTGAAACTGTACATATTGTAATTTCAGTGAATTTTTAACAAGTAATATTGCAACAATAATCATTTTTTGTGGACACATTACTGACACATGTATCACAGTTCCATGGAACATTATGAACGTTCTACTGTATACATATTGTAAAGGACACAAAAATGCATCATATACGATAAAAACAAATAAAACCGCATTGGAAATACATAGAACAAATAATTGAAAATATATTTGTGGCAACACCCGGTGATTGAATGGCCCAGGTGACCGTGTCTGGGCGATTCATGCACGGGCGACCAGGCCCTGATGACGTCACAGCGCACCTTGTCCACGTCCCCACAGTCAAAGTGAGTGGAATTTGGTATTTATTTTTACATAGACATGTTCAGGGAAGGGAATTTATCATTTTATGAAGAAAAAAGAATTTTTTGAGAACACTTTATTTCATGCGCACCGGGGGAATTTCACAATAAACTCGGCGCAGCACGGTGGTTAATAACCATCTATACTTAACTTACATCTTCATTACGTCAATCACACCACACGTGACAAAGGAACGGAAACTGCAGGTACATACCAGGGTACTCAACATTATATCCTGCCTTACCCTGTTGGATGACCATCTTGTCCAGACGGAGTTTGACCTCTGCACGTTCCACTAATTTTTCTTCCATGGAGTTTTCTTGAATAAATCTAAACACTTTTACTTGCTTCCTTTGCCCAATACGATGTGCTCTGTCCATAGCCTGCATGTAAAGAACAATGTACCAAGCTGGTTTCTCACAGAAAAAGTATAAAACCTGCCAGAAGAAGTATGTACACTCACAGAAGTGAATATATTCATTGGACAAAATTCTCTTAAACCAGCTTTAAGAGAATAAATTAATTTAAAATACAGCATATGAACCTGTAAGTCCATCTGTGGGTTCCAATCAGAGTCAAAAAGGATGACGATATCTGCTGTAGCCAGATTGATACCTAGACCGCCAGCACGAGTTGATAACATGAATAGGAACTTGTCTCTGTTGATAAAATGAGGATAATTACTGCATTACAGCACAGTAATCCATTTTACTCATTAAATAAACAACACACGAGCAGATTTTATGATATACTGTATAAGCGGCATAAGGCTAGCCAAACTTTAAAAATAAAAAGAACATGAACAAATAAGCATCGAACCAGTCTTCTAATACACAGTACTCACGAATTAGGCATATTATATTCATCAATCTGCCTTTGGCGGTCTTCATGTGCAGTCTGTCCATCAATACGACAATACAAATATTTGCGCCAAACACAATAGTCTTCCAAGATATCCAACATGCGTGTCATTTGGGAAAAGAGCAAGACTCGTGACCCCATTTCCCTAAGCTTGGGAAGCAGCTTGTCAAGTACTATCATTTTGCCAGAGTTCTCCACCTGTCAAAATAGAACAATAAATGTAACAATCACTGCACTGGGAAACATCCATCCATACACTATCACCACCCTGTACCCCACCTTCACAAGGACATCACGCATCACCAACGAGAAAAAAAGATCACAATATAATAAAAGGTTACAATATTTGAAAAAAAGGAGAGAAATATCACTCATCCATCCATTATATGAATGACATTATTAGCATCATGGATGAATGAGCACCACTACACACTGGAAGGCATCCACACCCTACATCTCACCACTTTGTAAGATTACATGAACAATAACCTTTTATTATTATAAACAAATGCATTCATCCTTACAAACAGCTACCCCCCCCCCCTCCACCATTTTCTGCCTTAACATAGCACATGTGTAGTTTATACTCAACTCTTGCCTTCTCACGCGCTCACCACATCCACCCATTTTTGTCTCGACCACTCTTTCTTCATGTCCACAAATTTACTTGAATCCATTTTCTTTACCAGTCTCTCATCATCCATTCATTCAACATGACTAATCTCAGTAGGCTCTTGTAAATCTTGTAGCTTATTTACTTTTACACTCTACATACATTATATTTAAGATATTTTATTCCTTACATATCTACTCTCAAAAACAACACTGCATCTACCTGGTCCTTGAAAACAAATTTATAAATCTTTGCCACAATCCTACACAAGAGGTTGTTTTGGAAGCTAGAGTCCAAAGACAAATTTGCATGAACATTTTTCCAATAAACAACGAGAGCAGTGATCAGAGGCAGTGTATCACACTGGAGGAATGTCACTAGAGGAGCACCAAAAGGCTCAGTCCTTGTACTCAGTCCTCAGTAATGTTCACTGTCTATATAAATAATCTACCAGAGGTGAATCAGCATTATATAAATATGTTTGCAGATAATGCTAAGTTACTAGAGACTTTGATGATTACCATGCCCTTCAAAATAACCGAGACAAATAAGTGAATGAAGCAATACGTGGCAAATGGAATTTAATGTAAATAAATAATACATAATGGAATGTGGAATAGGCAGAAAACAAGCTCCACTCATCCAGTAAATAATGTGAAAAGATACCAAAGGCCTTTGACAAAGAAAGATATCTAGGGGAGGCTCTGAATAACTGTCACCAGAGGATCACGTCACACGTGTGTGCGAGAAGCTGCTGTTATACCAACAAATTTGAGAATACACAGAGAAATCACACTAATATGACTGCATCAATGAGAAAATCCATAGGAGCCGTGATGAGGATTCAAACACGTGCGGTGGGTGTTCCCAGGTACATGCTCTGGATGACTAGATCACAACATGGTCAGTCGAGGTAAATGTTCCACTATGCTCTTCAGACCTCCTTTGTTGCCCAGACCCCTCTTTGCCTCTCAGACTCTCTCTACCCTAGACCCTTGTCTCTCAGAGCCCCTCTGCCTCTCGTCATCCTCCTTATTACCGGACACTTCCCACTCCACAACCACTTATTGTAGAACTGCATCTATCTCTCACTTGCAGCATACACCAAGGGGAACCAAATAGAAGAGCTATGTGAACTCTGGTAACAGTTTCCAAGAAGTCTTATGGTAAGGTACATCAATGCTGATGAGGTATCATTAAAATGGAGGAAATAAAAAGGAGTTAATGAAATAAACTGACATAATTGCAATATTAGAAACTAAAAAACTAATATGATCATGGATGCCATTTTTATAGGGGGGGGAATACAAAGTGATAAAGAAAGAATTGACAGACAGGGAGAAGGAGGGGGAGGGTTTACCACTCCTAATAAAGCAGAAATGGAAGTTTGAGGTACTGGAAAATTGGAGACGTGACGGATACACAAGCTCCATAATTTGAACTGACAGCAGAACTGAAGAGGACTGTGGTCTTGGTCACCTACAATCGCTTACCAAACAGAAGAAGACCCAGACAGGAATATGACAACCACGAGGCAAGTATAGATGAACTGTAGAGGGCAGCAACAGCAGCTCACACAATGAGAGGAAAACTGTTGGTCTTAATTTTAAATCACAGAGAGATTGATTGAGAATTGAGGAAGCCCCATGATGAGGAAGAAACGTGGGGAGCAAAATTAGCGAAAGACACAAGAGAAGGAGGATACACCAAGTCTATTAGACCTGATCTTCACCCAGAACGAGAGAATCCAGGCAGCAGATGTAAGAAAGAGGTGCAGGGAGAGGGGAAGGGAACCATAGAAGGGAAGGGAAACAAAAATTGGTGAAGGCGCCAGGAGGCTGAACACAAGATACTATCTAGTATCATACTAGGAGATAAAATCTTTCAAGAATCAGGTAGAGAGAAAGATCTGGGGGTTGATATTACACTGAATCTGTTCCCAGAAGCCCATATCAAAAGGATATCATTTGCAGCATATGTCAGGTTGGCCAACAAGAATTGCCCTTAGAAACTTGTACAAGGAATCATTTACCACATATGTCAGACCACTCCTGGAATATGCAGCTCCAGTCCATACAGAGTTAAACACAAGACAACGTTAGAGAAGATTCAGAGGTATGCCACCAGACTAGTCTCAAGAGCCGAGAGGTGTAAGTTACGAAGAAAGGTTACAGGAATTAAACCTCACATCCATGGAAGACAAGAGATAAGAGTGACATGATCACCCCTATAAAATTCTCAGAGGAATTCACAGGGTAGATAAGGGTACACCATTTAGCATGGGTTAAACATGAACAAGATGACACATGTGGAAACTTATAATTTATATCAGCCACAGAGACATCAAAAATAATTTTTTCAGTGTCCTAGTAATTAACAAATGGAATGCATTAGGCAGTGATGTGGTGGAGGCAGCCTCCATTTACAGTTTTAAATGTAGATATGATAGAGTCCAATAAGCTCAGCAACCTGTACACCAGTTGATTGTCAGTTGTGAGGTGGAACCAAAGAGCTAAAGTTCAACCTCTGCAAGCACAACTAGACGAGTACACACACACACATGAAGCTTTTCCAATATTTACACTGTACTATAAAAATAGCCTGATACCACTGATACATTAGTACATATCTAATATCAAAAACCTACATAATTTTCTAAAGCATTTATACAATTTATGACCTGTATTACTTGAACCCTTTAACTGTGCAACACGCCTGCAGGCCCACGTCTGGGGTGCACTACGCACCTCCGAGTATTTGTATTTTTCACGTTCCATTAAAAACTCCCGCGGCTACATGGGGTTCACATCAGCTTCCTCAGGGCTCTTGTAAACAGACGCCATCTTTAAAAAAATCGTGGCCTACATTCCCGGGTGTGAGAGCCTCAGTAGTGAGTGAGCAACCAAGGCCGGTGCACGCAGCATGAGCTCACAGCACTGCTGTTCAGCTTGTGACCACAGCATCGCCTAATAATGTCAAAATATACCTGGTTGATGGGGTTCTGGGAGTTCCTCTACTCCCCAAGCCCGGCCCGAGGCCAGTTATAACTTGTATTATTTAGCCATGATAGTATTACAGAAGAGCTTGAGTGTGATAATGACTGTGTACAATGTTCAAATATTAGTGATTCAATGCTGTTCACGATGTTCACAGCGCTAGACACTGCACCACAACATTATTTCGTCCATCTAGGAATCTTCAAACGACTTCTTAGATTCCTTTACAAAATAAACTTGTGGTCAATTATGTATTTACAGGATTTAGTGACCAGTACTGTGGTGATAATAAGCACTGTGCGTAGTATTGTGGGAGGAGTAATTGTGGTGAGAGAGCAAGGGAGAGAATCGAGGTAGCCTCACTGTGTGGCAGCCACTCTTGTTTTGCTCATCATACTAGCTTAGTGGTTCGTTATGGTGAACACATTTGTACATGGGTATATACAATGTGTGTATATAGTATAGTAACAGCAACAGGAGTATGGTGGAAGGAGCTATTTTCGTGAGGGAGGTGACGTGATCGTAGCGTCGTCTGCTGGCTGCTGTTTGATTTCTCATGCAGTGTATGGTTGCCACTGTAAAATTTGATCACAATACCGGCTTACTTGCATAGTTCTGGTGAATAAAACATGTATAGGTATACATAACATGTGTAAATATTGTAATACAAACAATAACAGTATGGTGGGAGGAGCAATGTTGGCGAGTAAGATGTTGGAGGAGTGAGGGCGAGACTGGATGTTGGAGGAGTGAGGGTGTGGAACCTGACACTCGCAGAGTTCTGAGTGTGTTCATGGTGAATGTATATAGTGTGTGATAGTGTACAGTGTGTAAATAGACTGTATATATACATAAATTAGCATAATACAATGGAAGTATGTGCCGGATATGTGTACACATGTGTCATGCACGTAACAGTGTATTCAGACAGTATGGACGTTCTACTGCCATAATATAGCGTACATGTTCATTATACATAGGATTGGCACGTAAAAGCATATAAAATGTATTTAGAACTGTGCACAGAAAATGAACAAAAATATATTTGCAGTCTCCGTGGTGTAGTGGTAAGACACTCGCCTGGCGTTCCGCGAGCTCTATGTCATGGGTTCGTATCCTGGCCGGGGAGGATTTACTGGGCGCAATTCCTTAACTGTAGCCTCTGTTTAACGCAACAGTAAAATGTGTACTTGGATGAAAAAACGATTCTTCGCGGCAGGGGATCGTATTCCAGGGACCATAGGATTAAGGACTTGCCCGAAACGCTACGCGTACTAGTGGCTGTACAAGAATGTAACAACTCTTGTATATATCTCAAACAAAAACAAAAAAAACAAAAAAAAAAAATCGTGGCAACTCGCACATCCTGTTCCGAGCGCCCTTCTGGCCCCGGGGGCGTATGACATGGGCAACCAGGGAATGATGACGTCACGCACGAACTTACGGACCCTATAGCAGCTAAAGTACTTACAATTTCGACCTTCTGTTACTATATCCTTACTCAGGGAAGGGTTTTTGACACTTTAAAAACAGAAAAGAATTTTTTCCAGAGATTTTATTTCCTGCGCACTTGGGGGGGGGGGGTCATATTTGGAGGCCACACAGTTAAGGGGTTAAAGAGAGGACTCTATTTTTTATCTTACCAGATGATAGTCTGTTGTGTATGGTGGGCCGGGCTCTGCTCCGTCAAAGAGGTAAGGGTGGTTACAGCATTTCCGCAGCTGCATCAAAATGTTCTGCAAACGCATTTTCTCTGTGCGACCAGCACCATTCACGACATCAATATCTTTCATCAAGATCTTTGTATACCTATAAAAAACAAAATAATAATAATCTAAACAAATTTGGACAATACTAAAGATTATAAGGTTCTCCTCTTTCAAAGCAAATTTTGCTTAATTTACCTTCTCAAACATAATGTATACAAGCTATTAATCATGTAAGCTTAACAGCATTACAATGACAAGATGAATACCTCACCAGTATATCTAAAAGAAAGATTCACCTACAGTACTAGGAAATATTCATCATCAGATAACTGGCAATTTTTTTTTTTTTTTTTTTTGATAAAATGAGCCCCACGGCTAAAACGGCCGGAACACAGAGAGCAAACCGAGCGCCATAGTCTAGGCCGAGCGCCATAGTCTAGGCAGCCAGACAAGCACACTGTGCAAGGTTGCTGGCCACAAAATCGGAGCCCATAATAAAATAAAGAAAACAAGTCAATGATCACAGTTTGTGAGGACAGGAGTGAGGTAATAATATACAGAAGTACCACAGTCTCGTACACAAGACAAGACTGCCCCGGGAACACAAGACAAGACTGCCCCGGGAACACAAGACCAAGAGACATGACCACCACCCATAATTCCTCTGGGTAATGGACAGAGTAAGAAAAGATGGATGAATCAATATGATTGGTACACCCAGAATTGGATATAGGTGGAAACTGGGTACCCAAAGAAGCCACAGAGACATTAGAAAGAACTTGCCCAGAGGGAAAGTAGTAAGGAAAGGGAATGTAAGAGACAGGGATGAGGTGGAGGCTGTGAACGTAGATGTAGGAGCGCAAGAAGCTCAGGAAAGTGTACACCAGTAGAACGATGGGCGAGAGGCGGGCCCAAAGAGCCAAAGTGCAACCCCCTACAAACTCAACCAGAAGAGGACAACGATGCAAGTACAAACTTCCCCAAACTACTGACAACACATTAGCAGTTACGAGGGAAGAACACACCAATTCACGTACCTCCCCACCCATTTCAAAGTTGACATAACCCACACCCGAGACATGTTACACATAATGAACGACCGAGTTCCCGGTAAGAACAATGGTGCATTAACTAAAAGAAAAATGCCCCATAAGTGGGAGAGAAAAGACAAACTTCCAATCGCCCGGCTGCCATATGCAAAGAGTGAACGACAACAAACCACAGCTGTGGGATGGTGCACCACGACCAGTGCGCTGCCCTGGAGGCCAGTCGCGTCAGCACAAAACATCACTCAGAAACCCAAGGTTTACAATCTGTATAGCAAAACACTTGCCTACAACATGAACAACAAAACCACTAACTTGAGAGGAAAGAGCAGGGGTACCAAAAGCACTGGAAAATAACGTGCAATAAATGGATGATGAACCACACAAAAAATTTTTTTTATAATCAAAATTTTTTCCCCCCTGTACAAAACATTCAAGCAAAAGATGGACGCATCCAATGCATGGGTGCATAAATCATGCCAGCAAATACAATAAAACTAATTCAGAAAGAGAAGGATGGGACAAAAACCCTCTCCCCCTGCTGCAACAACTCCTGCCCAGTAGGCACAAAGGCCCAAGCAGGGTCAAAAGAAGCCCAAGCACTACAAGTGAACTCCCCCCCTCCCACTGAGTCCCAGGAACACCCAACACGGGCCCCGGGGTAGAGCCCTCTTCCACGGTCACCACCCTTGAAGAAAATATGGTGTCTAGGAGAAAAGCTTCTATCTAAGAAGGGTGTCTGCTGGGTTGAACCAGATATCTTTGTGGGAAAATCGGATTCAACCACTTCCGTGCCCGAATTGAAAGGAGCAGCCCCCGAAGCTATAAGAGCCTCATCCCGAGATAAACCCCACTCTGATTCTGAAACCCTCAGACGTCTAGGAGCAGGAAGTAGGGAGGGGGGGGGGGGAATAGGAGCAGGGGCACAGATGGAACCAAGGTCAGAGAGAGACCAACTCCCCCCAAATCCTGGTCACTAAAACCCATGTGGGGCAGCTCTAGGGCCTCCAATTGGGCAACTAACCTGGCGCGTTGCAAGAAGGAGAATTGAGCATGCAACGCAGCCACCGCCTGATTCCTGAGATCAAAGACAAGGAATGAGTAAATTGAAGCACAAGAGGGGAACCAAGTCCCACAACACACAGAAATCACAACAGCGTGATACATCAAATGAACAAATCCACAAGGGCCGTGATGAGGGACGTAAGTTCGGACCCACATCACGGCCCTTGTGGATTTGTTCAAATCCTACAAAATTCTGGGTCATAGTGTCACCAGCCCAACAGGCAGCATGACGGAGGCAATACAGATTGCCCTGAGGCAGGGGTGACAAGCAACCTTTAACTTCACACAAGGCGAGAGTGGACTCTGAATTAATATCCATGGCACCACAGAGCCCACAGAGGTTTTCCAAGGCTCATATGGTAAAGTAGCCCTATGGGAAGCCCAGGCACTGGGGCCAGCTAAGCTGGTAGAATCCCTGTCTAGTAGAAGGCAAACTGACTACTAGTAGCAGCAGTGAAACCTCAGGGGCAACAGAGGAGGACTACCAACACCACCTAGGCTAGCCTAATAGGGCCACCAATTATAGGACCCAATAAAACCCCCCACCAACACCACCTAAGCTGGGCAGACTTCTCTATCCATAAAAAGCCAAACACCTGAAAAGGAACAAAACACAACACAACAAATAAACTGGCAGTCAGAGAGAAGCATCAGCCACTGTGTTGCAGTAAAGCAGGCTGCACCAGCTGCAGTGCGCCCCACCCAGCCAAAACATTCCCCCACCCGGGCCAAGGAGGAAAGCCCAATACCCGACATACCCCAAGGGCCAAGACAACCTCAAGCAATGAAGTCCCTTTAACGGGGAGTGATTCCTGAATGCCTCAGGGAAGATAACCTTGAAACACAAGGGTAGTATTTACGGTGCACCTAGGGAAGCTCACCCTAGGTGCATGCTGCTCCACGTACAATAAGACACCTGACCAACACCCACACACATACACTGCTGGTACAGCCACACAGGGCAAAACCCAGAACAGGAACTTGAGGCCAGAGGTGACTGATCTAACCCCCAGCACATCTGTTCAAGAACTGGAGTGATGACTGCCAGCTCTGGTGAGCAGGCTCCCCCTCCTCTCCATTGTAGTGTTAATGAGCATGAGTGCTAGTTGCATGGAGTATTGCTTGTTTGGTTTCTTTCTAGGGAAGTTAATTTGATCTTTTAGGTTGTAGATTACACTGTTAACAGACAGTGGTCTGTTTTGATTTGCCTAACTTTCTGGATCCTTTCCCAGTCGATGGCAAGTATGACATACGGTGCTTTAAATATAAAGTGATCATAGGCCATTGTTCCCTGCGCCTCACTAAGGGGAGGGAGCAATGGTCCCCGGTAAACATAAGGATTCCTGTGACTGATGACCCCCAAGCTAATTTAGCACATATCAGTTTGGTTAGCTTCAGGGAGCCAACGGGGCTCGCTCCTCACAAAAAAATATTTAAATGTTTAACATTAAAATTATGCTTTCAAACAAAAATGAAACAATGGAAAGTGGGTGCGACTGCTTGGGTCAGTATGGGTTTATGCTTGAAGAAATATGCAAAATGCAGTAAGAAGATTTTGTAAAACCCACCCAAATAGTATAATACTGACTAATCATATTAATACATCATGTGGTATATATTACCAAAATATTTGTATGTAATATAAAATTACCCACCAGTCACGCTGCATTTTAGATAACTGGATGTACACTTTCGTCTCTTTCTTGGGCAAGAGACGCTTTTCTACGTCTGACTTGAGCCTACGCAGCAAAAACGGTCTCAGTACAGCATGCAGACGTTCAACAAGGGTAGCATCACCCAAGCAGTTGTTGGTATTGAACCACGAGTCAAAATCCTGTGGAAATGACAGACTCAATATATAAAGTAGTTTAAGCATAACAAAAACCATAATTATTAAGAAGAGTAAGAGCATGCTAGGATGTATTATGATAGTTGACTGAAAATGGTGCACCCAGAACTTATAAACACCAGGCATTATAAACACAATACACTTCCACTCATATGGACTTGGACTTAAAGTTAGGTACTGAAAGCAGCTAGGTTATTCTACACCTGTTGGAATGAAACCAGTTTCTCCGGACTATCAGATGCCATGTAACACCTGTTGGAATAAAACCAGTTTCTCCGGACTATCAGATGCCATGTAATACCAGTGCAAATGAAGCCTGTTTCTCCAGATTATCAGATGCCAAGTAATCAACATCTCTGAATGGTAATTTCTGGTTAACTATGCTTTCATCCCAAAATACTGTAGACACTCGATTATCCGGGATTCGAACATCTGGAAAACGCCTTTATACGGCCAAAATCGTGACCGGATAAAGTTCTCAATATCTGGCCAAAATGGCCATGGGAGCTGGATAAAGTTGGTCTAGCCGGATAAAAAATCGGAGCCGGTTAACTTGCTGCCGATGTTATACTAACCGGACAGTCAGCCGGATAATCATTGAATTGTCCAGATATGAAAGCCATGGGGTGGGCCGTACCGTATTAAGACGCATGAGGTGGCTAAAGAAGCTACCAAGATTAACAAGAAACGTCCAAAAATCCTAGAAGAGGTTGAAAAGCTACTGCTAGTCTGGATGAATGAAAGGCAATTACATAGCGATAGTGTGTCTGAAGCTCTTGTTTGTGCAAAGGCCAAGAAGTTGTATGTGGACCTTGTCAGGAAGACACCAGGTGCGTCGTCTGAAGAGGAGGAGATATTTAAGGCAAGCCGTGGATGGTTTAAGAAATTTAGGGAGAGAGACACCAGGTGCGTCGTCTGAAGAGGAGATATTTAAGGCAAGCCGTGGATGGTTTGAGAAATTTAGGAAGAGAAGCGGTATCCACAGTGTTGTGCGACGTGGGGAGGCTGCCAGCTCTGATAAAGCTGCTGCTGAGAAATTTGTACCAGAGTTCCAGGAATTTGTTGCTAGAGAGGAGTTCTTGCCCCAACAAATTTTTAATTGTGACGAGACTGGCCTGTTTTGGAAGAAAATGATGAAGAGGACTTACATCACACAGGAGGAACAATCTTTGCCTGGCCACAAACCGATGAAGGATCGGCTTACTCTCGTCCTCTGCGCCAATGCAAGTGGCGATTGCAAGGTCAAGCCGCTGCTATTCTACCACTCAGAAAATCCACGCGTGTTCAAGGCATGTAAAGTGTACAAGGCGCGACTGAAGGTGATGTGGAGGTCCAATAAGAAATCCTGGGTCATGCGGATATTCTTCACTGAATGGGTCAATGATGTTTTTGGCCCCTCAGTGAGGAAATATCTTGAAGAGAAGCTGTTGCCACTCAAGGCCTTGCTTGTGCTCGATAATGCTCCTGCACATCCTCCACAGATACGAGAAGAATTGTATCCTGAAAATCAGTTCATCACCAAGTTCCTTCCTCCCAATACCACTCCACTCCTCCAACCTATGGACCAGAAAGTCATTGCAAACTTTAAGAAACTCTACATGAAGGCCTTGTTGGAGAGGTGTGTTGATGTAACCGACAATACAGAGCTGATCCTCAAAGAATTCTGGAAGAACCACTGCAATATCCTGGGTGCCTTACGTTTGATCGATAAGGCCTGGGAAGGAGTGACAAGGAAGACCCTAAACTCTGCATGGTGTAACCTGTGGCCTGAGGGTGTCCCTGAGCGAGACTTCGAAGGTTTTGGTCCTGCACTTGCATCTGCATCTGTGGAAGACCCGGAAGTGCATCTAGTGGATGATATTGTTGCTCTGGGGCAAACTTTGGGTCTGGAGTTGGATGCTGCTGATGTGCAGGAGTTAGTAGAGGAGCACAGTGAGGAACTGACCACTGAGCAACTCCTGGAACTTCAGAAGGATCTTAATCAAAAGGAGACACAAAAGCTCTAATCAGGGGAGGAGGAGGTAGGGGAGGATGCTTCTGCCTCTTCAAGTGAGATCAGGGAAGTGTTGGGAATGTTTGAAAAGGTGACCGCATTCTTAGAAAAACATCACCCTGATAAAGCAGTGACAACCCGATGTGTGAACATGTTTAATGACAATTTGCTGTCTCGTTTTAGGGACATTTAGGGACATGTCTTGTTTTAGGGACATTTAGGAGCTCCGACAGGGGTTTCCAGGGCCTGTAGGGTAACAACTACGGGAAGCCCGGGCAAGGTGTTGTTAACCGGTTAAAACCCAAAAATAACAAGGGGGTAGAGGACAACACTGAAAACCCCTGCGACGTGTACAATCATGAGGGCCTAGCAGAGGGCCACCCAACACTACCAATGGAACTATAGCCACACTAGGCAGACCCCCACCAGGCAAATGAAAATAAAAACAAAAGAAAAAGCCCGCAAAAGTACACCGTCTCCAGAGGCAACAGGAACCGGTCGCCGCTTAGGTGGCAGGCCGTACAACACCTTGATGCCCTAACCAGTACAATACCAGTCCCTACCCAGGGCCAAACAAGGGCCCCAAGAGCGAGGCAAATGCCGAACAGTAAGAACCTTTACAGAAATGGTTCCCGAACACCCCAGGGAAAATAAACCTGTTACGCAGGGGCAGTATTCACAGGACACTTAGGGAAGGAAGCCCCTAAGTGCATGCAGCCCCGGTACAGATGAGGAACACCTGGCCACCGCACAACACAACACACGGCAGTGAACGCCACGAAAGGCAAACACTGCCTAGGAAACTGAGGCCAGAGAAGCATCTATCCCGGTTGACATTAGCTTACGAACTGATGCTAGGCAGCCGGTGTGGTGAGGTCCGGGGCTCCCCCCCCCTCCCCCTCTCGGGGCGGGAAGGGCTGCGCGGACGATCGGCGCGGGAGTAAAGTGTGATGTTTGCTTGTTTCTTTGGGATTGTAGGGAGTTTCTACCTCTCTGTTTGGTTTTCTGTTTTAGTTTTTACCATGTGGGGTTTGTTTTGTTATGTCTACCTTTCTGGGTGCCTAACCCCGGTCGATGGCAGATAAGGAAAACCCCAACCATAAGGGGTTTTTCCAGGGCCATTGCTCCCTGAAACCTCTCTGAAGGGGCCAGGTTCTGGCGCTGGTCCCTGGTAGGTCTGAACTCCTTAGCTAATGTCCCGGTCTAATATAACTCACATTAGCCCGATAAGGTCCAGGGAGCCGTAGGGGCTCCTCACAGAAAATACAAATCAAAAAAATTTCATAAAGCTGACCTCAGATGAGCTGAAGACTTCAGGAAGTAAGAAATTGAGAAGTGACCACAGCTCGTGAAGGTTGTTCTGCAGGGGAGTACCCGTCAACAACAAGCGATTGGTGGTCCTGAACTCTCGGACAATTTCTGAAAGCTTGCTCTTCTCGTTCTTGATGCGATGAGCTTCGTCAATAACCATGTACCTGAATTAATAAAATCTCTCACAGCACAGCACCACTGAGGAAACAAACCAAACTTACACCATCTTATATGTTAGCAAGAACAAGCCACGTTACCTGTCTATACACGGTACACTGTTCCTAACTTGAGAGCACGTCTGGTGCAGCAGCCCGCCCTCACCCCTTAACAAGTGCCATGAGTGTGAGCCTAGATCAACCCACCTATAGTCTACCAAGGCTCATTAGTCCGAAGATGTACACAAATTAAGGTGCTTTAATTCCACAAAAAACTTCAACTGAACTCTTGATGTCTGTAATACTGTATTGAAATTGAGGTGCAATAAATGTGAGGACAGGTTGGTATCATCTCTGGCAGTTAGTTTCCTCACACCGTTGAGATTTAATAGTATCTTATATTGGAAAGTTATGGTCAAGATGAAATTATATATAGAGCATATGGAAACAGTTAGGAGGCAGGGCATGAAGAGCTAAATCTCATTTCCCTGAAGTCATTGATAAGCAATATAACCACATATTTATATTTCACTATAATTTTACTCTAAATTCAATGCAACAATGCACAGAATGCAAAGAAAACCCATTAATTCAAACCAATCCTCCAAACATATGTAATAAGGGTCTCGGTAGAACAGTTGGATTCGTTCTCGACTCTCCATCGGGAATCCCAGGTGGGACAGAAATGGTTACCTGGAGCATACCTGGAGAGGGTTCTGGGAGGGTTCTTCTACTCCCCAAGTCCAGCCTGAGGCCAGGCTCGACTGGGTATGTTTCCTTTCACCTAAAGCCCTTGTTTACCTAGAAATAAATAGGTACCCAAGAGTTAGTCAACTGTTATAGGGTTGTCTCCTAGGGAAGGTCAGTAAACCGACAGGGGAAGGAGGGGGGGGACTTCGCATAAATCTAACATATATATGTACATACACCATTTTTTAAATTCTTGATAAGGTGAAGAGACAGGAGGTACACATGAAGGCACTAGTGAAAGATAATGAGATATGGAAAACAAACAGGGGTGAATTTGGAGATATTAATAGGAAAATAGACTCATATAGTGAACTACTATATAACCTTAGAAGCTAGTCCCAACAGAATTAGGCAAGGATATGCTAAGACAAATTTCATTGACAGTTCAAATAGAAGAGGTTTATACAGGACTGGAAAATTGAAAAAGGTAATATAAGAAACATATGTGCAAGTAATAAAAGAGAAAGAAATGATCAAGGAAGTATGCTTGGATATCAAAACCAGAAATGACCAACAAGCAAACACTTGACAAGAAAATAGGAAAGAACAGTCTCCACCCAGCTGTCAGAACTGGCACCTGACAGCTGGGTGGACAGCGCTTCGGATTCATAGTCCTGAGGTTCCGGGTTCAATCCCCGGTAGAAGCGGACACAAATGGGCAAAAATATTTCTTTCACCCTGATGCCCCTGTTACCTAGCAGTAAATAGGTACCTGGGAGTTAGACAGCTGCTACAGGTTGCTTCCCTGGGGGTGCGTAACAAAAAGGAGGCCTGGTCGAGGACCAGGCCGCGGGGACGCTAAGACCCGAAATCTTCTCAAGATAACAAGATACAGTCAATCAGTTCAAAACACTGCAGATAGAAGCACATAATAAATTGTGGGTGTTTAGAAAAGGAAATACCATCTAGGATAGAGAGAGCAGCAGAAGAGCAAAAAACCAGCGTTGAATGTAATGAAACTGCATTTTCTGGGTGATACCTGGAGGCTCCCCGGAGCTATCCGAGCTGATATGAATGTATTAGACTGTGGCATCAGTCAAGCGAATGTAGTTCTTAGGCCTACCAGGGATCACGAGCCAGAACCTGGCTCGTGATCCCTCAGAAGAGGCAAGGAGAGCAATGGCCTATAGAAACCCCCGTGTGTTTAGAAAAATTATATGTCTGCCATCGACGGGGTCAGGCACCCAGAAACGTAAGCATCCCAAAACAAACCCCTATTCTGGTGAAAATATTGCTACCAAAAGCCGAACAAGTGAATAAACTCCCTTAAACGAAACGAGCAAACGATCATGATGTCACATGTCACCGCGCCGCTGTCTGCGCAGCTCTCCCCCTCCCCGGGAGGGAAAACAAGTTTGGATCCTTATAACCAAAATGGGGCAGCATCGAGGCAGCCTTGGGGCATCCAGGTGAGCAGCCAACCTAGCGTGCTGCTGCAACCTAAAACGCGCATGCAACACTGAAGCTGCCTGCACCCGAACATCAAAATCAGTGGAATGGGTGAACTGGAGTACAAGCAAAGTACACCATTCACAGAACTCTGGGTCGAAAGTGTCACCGACCCAACAGGCAGTATGACGGAGGCATAACCGGTGAGTGTCACCCTGAGACAAGGAGACAGAGTAACCCTCAAACTTGCACAAAGCAAATGGAGACGGATCACATTCATTGGACCACTGAACCCCAGTACCCCAGTGGGGGTTTCCAGGGCCCTTAGACGCTCCGCTTAGAGAAGCCCAGGCAAGGTACGGTTAAATGGAGCCCCAAACTATCAAGCAAACTACTAATTGCTGAGCCCCTGTGACGTGTACACACATGGGGAACTAGCAGAGGACCAATAACAATACATTCATTCATTCATACATATATACATACATATATCACCACGAGGAAGACCCTTCACCAGGAAGAAAGCAAAAATAAATAAAAGAAAAACCTCACACGCATACAACATCACCAGGCGCAACAGAGCTGGCCGCTGTATTAAGGTGAAAACTAGCTGCATAGTACGATGCACCCCTATAAGTGACAAAGCTACCTCCTACCCAGGGGCTGACATGGGTGCATGAAGCACCCCACCTGACTCCAAAGGTGTCCAATCACCGAGCAGTAAATGACAACGGTGGAGGTAGATCCCAAGCGACTTGTGGAAGGTAACCCCAAGCCACAAGGGCAGTACTTACAGGGCACCTAGGGAGAGAGACCCTAGGCGCATGCAGCCTGAGTACTGGTGAAATTACTACTGGCTCACACACCATCACAGGGCAGGACCACTCCACAAAGCACAGAACTGGACAAAGTCTGAAGCCAGAGTCGCAAGACCGCCAGGTCTCACATCAGCCACAGAACTGGGGGTGAATAGCCAGCGCCGGGGGTCTGGGGCTCCCCCTCCCCCTTCCCAAGGAGGTTTTTTTTTTTCAGGGATATACTTGCACGGGCCCTAAGCCTCTGGCTAGCCCACTAAGTGTTGATTGTTTCTGTTTTACTTGGGCGGAGTATGAGTATTTATGACTCGTGTGGTCGCTTCAGGAAGATTTTGTCCCACGTGTTTAACAACAACTTCTGCTCTGTTGAATCTAAGTTGAAATCTTAATGGGTTTGTAGCTGTGCACTGTGTTAGGTAATGTTCCAGTGGTCTGTCGGACATATCTCCACAATGCTGACATTTCCTCTCATCATCCTGGACCTGTAAGCCTATTTCCCATGCACATGGGCATCCAAGTCTGATGCGATGTAACTGTACTTCTGTTGTTTTACTGCTCCCTTTCATCAAACCAAGTGGTTCATAGTTGGTTGAATTCTTGTACCAACCCGCAGATCCTGATGTTGCAACTGCTGTGTTGTGGTTAATGTACATCTTTTGCATTGCTCTGTTTCTAATTACTTTCTTAATCTGTGATAGACTCTGTGGTATGTATATGTCTAAATTTCTTCTCTTAGTTGCAAGTTTTGCAGCTATGTCTGCAATGTCATTTCCAATTATTCCCACATAACTTGGCAAGGTGGGGAGGGGGAGCTGTGCAGACAGGGGCACAGTGATGGTTTTGACATCATGGTCATTTGCACGTCTTAGTTTGGGGAGTTCTGTCCAACAGTCCAGCTTTTAGTAGCAATTAATAAATAGGGTTTGTTTACAGGCAGCTACCTTTCTGGGTGCCTGACCCAGTCGATGGCATAGAATGCTTCCTACCACATGGGAGTTTCTATAGACCTTTGCTCCTCGTGCCTCTCTGATGGGTCCAGGTTCTGGCTCGTGGTCCCTTCAGTAGGCCTAAGAACTCCATTTGCTTGAGGGGCCTGACAGCTGAGTGGACAGCACTTTGGATTCATGGTTCTGAGGTTCCGGGTTCGATCCCCGGTGGGGGCGGAAACAAATGGCAGAGTTTCTTTCACCCTGATGCTCCTGTTCACCTAGCAGTAAATAGGAACTTGGGAGTTAGACAGCTGCTACGGGCTGCTTCCTGGGCATGAGTAACAAAAAGGAGGCCTGGTCGAGGACCGGGCCGTAGGGACACTAAGCCCCAAAATCATCTCAAGATAACCTGACCGATGCCACGGTCTAATACATTCATATCAGCCCGGATAGCTCCGGTAAGCAGAAGGGACTCCACTCAGAAATTGTTACAGCAGTAACACAATAACATCAAGGATAGTAACATCAAGGATAAACAAGCACCACCACCACACAATAACATCAAGGATAAACAAGCACCACCACCACACAGTAACATCAAGGATAAACAAGCACCACCACCACACAGTAACATCAAGGATAAACAAGCACCACCACCACACAGTAACATCAAGGATAAACAAGCACCACCACACAATAACATCAAGGATAAACAAGCACCACCACACAATAACATCTAGGATAAACAAGCACCACCACCACACAATAACATCAAGGATAAACAAGCACCACCACCACACAGTAACATCAAGGATAAACAAGCACCACCACACAATAACATCAAGGATAAACAAGCACCACCACCACACAGTAACATCAAGGATAAACAAGCACCACCACCACACAGTAACATCAAGGATAAACAAGCACCACCACACAATAACATCAAGGATAAACAAGCACCACCACACAATAACATCAAGGGTAAACAAGCACCACCACCACACAGTAACATCAAGGATAAACAAGCACCACCACCACACAATAACATCAAGGATAAACAAGCACCACCACACAATAACATCAAGGATAAACAAGCACCACCACCACACAGTAACATCAAGGA